ACAAGGACTGGTCGGCTCGGAGTCAGTATACTGTGTCTGAGTGGGGTATTCATGTTAAACTGCGGCATGGTATCTCAGTGAGCTAGCACTATAAATCGGCATCAGTCCGGACTAGTACAAGCAGCCACACAAACACACACACACATACAAGCACGTCGCTATATAAGTGCAATAATCTTGGACGCGACGTTAAACCCCATTTCACCTCACCATTATGCAACAAGCAAACGTCATTTTCCAACAAGACAACGCCCGACCTCACACTGCAAGACTGAAAACATGATTACCATCTGTTGATTATTTATACGGTATATATAATAAACATCTAAAATAACTTCTTTCTTTTTTGGCAGAGTATATTTATATAGGTTCACAGAGTGTAAAGGCAATATGCTGATATACTTACAGGTGAACAGGTGTTAGTATGTTGACTGCCAATTGAGGCTATGGGAATGTCTGTGATCCGAATTTCTCTCCGTCCTGTTTGTGGCCACCCTCGGCTACCTAGGGCGTTGTACGGTCATCTTGATTTTGAGGTATTACATGACTGATTCTTAGATGGTATGGGTTAAGGATAAGATGAGTGAGTATTGCTTTTAGCAATATTCCAGCACTATCACGACGGGGGACACATTGTACCCATGGAGGGAATTGAACCAGGGTCTTCGGCGAAAGCTTTATCCACTAGGCTACCCGAACGCCCCTAGTTGAAGAGGTAAGCTCAGACGAAGATGTAGTAGTAGTAGTAGTAGTAGTAGTCTCTGCACTAAAGGTAGTAGTAGTCTTTGCACTAAAGGTAGTAGTAGTCTCTGCAGTAAAGGTAGCAGTAGTAGTCTTTGCACTAAAGGTAGTAGTAGTCTCTGCAGTAAAGGTAGCAGTAGTAGTCTTTGCAGTAAAGGTAGTAGTGGTCTCTGCAATAAAGGTAGTAGTAGTGTCTGCACTAAAGGTAGTAGTAGTCTCTGCAGTAATGGTAGTAGTAGTCTCTGCAGTAATGGTAGTAGTAGTCTCTGCAGTAATGGTAGTAGTAGTCTCTGCAGTAATGGTAGTAGTAGTCTCTGCAGTAATGGTAGTAGTAGTCTCTGCAGTAATGGTAGTAGTAGTCTCTGCAGTAATGGTAGTAGTAGTCTCTGCAGTAATGGTAGTAGTAGTCTCTGCAGTAATGGTAGTAGTAGTCTCTGCAGTAATGGTAGTAGTAGTCTCTGCAATAATGGTAGTAGTAGTCTCTGCAATAAAGGTAGTAGTAGTCTCTGCAGTAATGGTAGTAGTAGTCTCTGCAATAAAGGTAGTAGTAGTCTCTGCAATAAAGGTAGTAGTAGTCTCTGCAGTAATGGTAGTAGTAGTCTCTGCAATAATGGTAGTAGTAGTCTCTGCAATAAAGGTAGTAGTAGTCTCTGCAGTAATGGTAGTAGTAGTCTCTGCAATAATGGTAGTAGTAGTCTCTGCAGTAATGGTAGTAGTAGTCTCTGCAATAATGGTAGTAGTAGTCTCTGCAATAAAGGTAGTAGTAGTCTCTGCAGTAATGGTAGTAGTAGTCTCTGCAATAAAGGTAGTAGTAGTCTCTGCAATAAAGGTAGTAGTAGTCTCTGCAGTAATGGTAGTAGTAGTCTCTGCAATAATGGTAGTAGTAGTCTCTGCAATAAAGGTAGTAGTAGTCTCTGCAGTAATGGTAGTAGTAGTCTCTGCAATAAAGGTAGTAGTAGTCTCTGCAGTAATGGTAGTAGTAGTCTCTGCAATAATGGTAGTAGTAGTCTCTGCAATAATGGTAGTAGTAGTCTCTGCAATAATGGTAGTAGTAGTCTCTGCAGTAATGGTAGTAGTAGTCTCTGCAATAAAGGTAGTAGTAGTCTCTGCAATAAAGGTAGTAGTAGTCTCTGCAGTAATGGTAGTAGTAGTCTCTGCAATAATGGTAGTAGTAGTCTCTGCAATAAAGGTAGTAGTAGTCTCTGCAATAAAGGTAGTAGTAGTCTCTGCAATAAAGGTAGTAGTAGTTTCTACAGTAATGGTAGTAGTAGTCTCTGCAATAAAGGTAGTAGTAGTCTCTGCAGTAATGGTAGTAGTAGTCTCTGCAGTAATGGTAGTAGTAGTCTCTGCAGTAATGGTAGTAGTAGTCTCTGCAGTAATGGTAGTAGTAGTCTCTGCAGTAATGGTAGTAGTAGTCTCTGCAGTAATGGTAGTAGTAGTCTCTGCAGTAATGGTAGTAGTAGTCTCTGCAGTAATGGTAGTAGTAGTCTCTGCAGTAATGGTAGTAGTAGTCTCTGCAGTAATGGTAGTAGTAGTCTCTGCAGTAATGGTAGTAGTAGTCTCTGCAGTAAAGGTAGTAGTAGTCTCTGCAATAAAGGTAGTAGTAGTCTCTGCAGTAATGGTAGTAGTAGTCTCTGCAGTAATGGTAGTAGTAGTCTCTGCAGTAAAGGTAGTAGTAGTCTCTGCAGTAATGGTAGTAGTAGTCTCTGCAGTAATGGTAGTAGTAGTCTCTGCAGTAATGGTAGTAGTAGTCTCTGCAGTAAAGGTAGTGGTAGTCTATGCAGTAAAGGTAACAGTAGTCTCTGCAGTAATGGTAGTAGTAGTCTCTGCAGTAATGGTAGTAGTAGTCTCTGCAGTAAAGGTAGTAGTAGTCTCTGCAGTAAAGGTAGTAGTGGTCTCTGCAGTAAAGGTAGCAGTAGTAGTCTCTGCAGTAAAGGTAGTAGTAGTCTCTGCAATAAAGGTAGTAGTAGTCTCTGTTGTTAAGGTAGTGGTAGTTTCTACAGTAATGGTAGTAGTAGTCTCTGCAGTAAAGGTAGTAGTAGTCTCTGCAGTAAAGGTAGTAGTAGTCTCTGCAGTAAAGGTAGTAGTAGTCGCTGCAGTAAAGGTAGTAGTAGTCTCTGCAGTGACGGTAGCAGTAGAAGTCTCTGCAGTAAAGGTAGTAGTAGTCTCTGTAGTAAAGGTAGTAGTAGTCGCTGCAGTAAAGGTAGTAGTAGTCTCTGCAGTCAAGGTAGTAGTAGTCTCTGCAGTAAAGGTAGTAGTAGTCTGTGCACAAAAGGTAGTAGTAGTCTCTGCAGTGACGGTAGCAGTAGAAGTCTCTGCAGTAAAGGTAGCAGGAGTCTCTGCAGTAATGGTAGTAGTAGTCTCTGAAGTAAAGGTAGTGGTAGTCTCCACAGTCAAGGTAGTGGTAGCCTCTGCAGTAAATGTAGTAGTAGTCTCTTCAGTAAAGGTAGTAGTATTCTCTGCAGTAATGGTAGTAGTAGTTTCTGCAGTAAAAGCAGAAGTAGTCTCTGCAGTAAATGTAGTAGTAGTCTCTGCAGTAAAAGTAGCAGTAGTAGTCTCTGCAGTAATGGTAGTAGCAGTAGTCTCTGCGGCAAAGGTAGTTGTAGTAGTAAAAGCCACTAACATCGCTCACCAGATGGCGCTCTAGTTTGAATCTGAAGACAGCAACAGTTTGGCGGATTAAACATCAAAGGATACCGCACTGGAAATTCGTGCTAATAAATTTAACGTCCTGCATATACCCCCGTATATTCCATGGTATTTTACCCCCGTAAATTCCACGCTAAATTAACCCCCTAAATTCCAGGCTTATTTACCCCCCTAAATTCCAGGCTTATTTACCCCCCTAAATTCCAGGCTTATTTACCCCCCTAAATTCCAGGCTTATTTACCCCCCTAAATCCCACGCTTATTTACCCCCCTAAATTCCACGCTTATTTACCCCCCTAAATTCCACGCTTATTTACCCCCCTAAATTCCACGCTTATTTACCCCCCTAAATCCCACGCTTATTTACCCCCCTAAATTCCACGCTTATTTACCCCACTAAATTCCACGCTTATTTACCCCCCTAAATCCCACGCTTATTTACCCCCCTAAATCCCACGCTTATTTACCCCCCTAAATTCCACGCTTATTTACCCCCCTAAATCCCACGCTTATTTACCCCCCTAAATCCCACGCTTATTTACCCCCCTAAATTCCACGCTTATTTACCCCCCTAAATCCCACGCTTATTTACCCCCCTAAATTCCACCCCTAAATCCCACGCTTATTTACCCCCCTAAATTCCACGCTTATTTACCCCCCTAAATCCCACGCTTATTTACCCCCCTAAATCCCACGCTTATTTACCCCCTAAATCCCACGCTTATTTACCCCCCTAAATTCCACGCTTATTTACCCCCCTAAATCCCACGCGTTCGGCTTTATCGTTTCCCCGTTCACTATCGTAGCGCTGCGGGACCTTTAACTTGCTTTGGTGTACGATTTGTTTTTAAGGCTAGAATATATGCAACAATTTATGTATCTATTGATTTCATTTGAACGCCACATAGAACAGAATTTCAGTTAAATATAACGACGTGCCAGCTAAGGAAGGGAGCCGCAAGTATTACAGGTCTAAGACGTTATTGCGTCCCTTGGGTACGCCAGAAACCTATGATCGTGGGTTCGAATCCCGGTTCGCTCCGATTATGTTTCTAGGTTTGTCAGCACCATACCCGTGCCCGTGGGTTTCGCCGAACTGGTAAACGTCTGAGACCTGCATCACTTCGTGCATTCCTCCCACATTAAGCTGACACGCCGTGATATAACTGGAATACTGTTAAAAGCGGCGTTAAACCAAACTCACTCACTCACTCACTCTAAGACGTTAACCACTTCGGTGGCACGGGTGACACGGCTGGCCCAGTCTTCTAAGGCGCCGCGAGTCGTTGTGTAGAGTTGCGTCCCAAGGGCATGCCAGAAACCTATGATTGTGGGTTCGAATCCCGGTTCGCCCCGATTATGTTTCTAGGTTTGTCAGCACCATACCCGTGCTCGTGGGTTTCCTTGAAGTGGTAAACGTCTGAGACCTGCATCACCTAGGGCTTTCCTCCCACATTAAACTGACACGCCGAGATATGACTGGAATACTGTTAAAAGCGTTGTTAAACCCAACTCCCTCACTCACTTTGGTGAAACCCACCAGTACTGATAAGGTGCTGACAAGCCTTGAAACATAATCATCTTATCGTATGCGCTGTTCATCCACGCAGGTCATTATCAAGATGGCCATCATGAAGCACCTGCTGACGGCCGTCGTGGCGTCCTACCTGGCCTTCGGCTTGTTCCGTTACCTGGACACGCCTGTCCCCGAGGGGGTGCCAGAAGTCTGGAATGCCAGGATCCTGGACGCTGCTCTCAGAACTAATGGCAAACTAGTATGTATTAATAACTGAAAAAAGTCGATTAGATTGGTAAAACGTGCATTATCTATGTTGACATATTTCTACAAAACGTCTGAAAAGTGAGCCGATATAAAACCACACAACAGAATGTAAGGATATTGCTGAATTATTTATTACTCGTAAAGAGTGTGGCTGTGAACGTCAATATCAAAGAATTCTCTTTGAACCATGGAAAAGGGGTAATGTGAAATAACCCTTGACATATAGGTTTTAAGATTGTGTTAAATTTATATGAATACAGTACGGTTATAACGAACTCAAATGGACTACTAATTTTAGTTCGTTATAACCGTAGTTCGTTATAAGCATATATACAGTATAGCTACAGCAAACAGTCGGGACCAAAAAAGTAAGTTCGTTATATCCGTCAGTTCGTTATAAGCGTGTTCGTTATAACCGTAGTTTACTGTACTGTTGTGGGTACATAAATCTAAAACTCAAAATTCGCCTCTTCGAAAAAACAGATACTGTCCCTCCATGATTTCGGCGTTACCGGCGGTGTCACGTGGTTTACCAGGAAGATGGTGGACGTTGTCTTGACAACGCTCATTACCGGAAATCCGTTTGGAAAAGGCGAAGATCCAGAAATAAAGGTAGGCAACTACACATGGGATGTTTTCAATTTACAGACAAAGAGCCTGAAGATTTGAAAGATTTAATTTTCATAAATAACACAGCAAACACACCGTCTAAATTCCACCGTGTCATCACATGCGAGCGTATTCTTTAAAACGGGTTAATTCCCCAGACAGGAAGAAGAGTATTCTCCGAAAGAAAACCGACAACAGAACCATGATTGACTTTGATTAATTTGTTCAGTGGTTAAAATGTTTCACAAAACAGTGATAAGCCACCTGTGATATCGGTATACGTTAATGTTTATACGTTTTTACTGTCAGCGAACTAAATATGATTATCATTATTAACCTGTAGATAACGGACACCCAGTTTAACGGAGTGGATGTGAGAGTGTACGAGCCCGTCTCCTGTACTGGGAAGCAGAGACCGGTGTTGGTGTATTATCATGGTGGTGGCTGGTCCTGGCTGTCTATAGGTAGGTTACAACTCTCCTGGTACCATGACACATGACACATGATACATCACACATGACATATGACGTGGTGGTGGCTGGTCCTGGCTGTTTATAGGTAGGTTACAACTCTCCTGGCACCATGACACATGACACATGACACATGACGTGGTGATGTCCTGGCTGTCTATAGGTAGGTTACAACTCTCCTGGCACCATGACACATGACACATGACACATGGCACATGACATGGTGGTGGCTGGTCCTGGCTGTCTATAGGTAGGTTACAACTCTCCTGTCACCATGACACATGACGTGGTGATGTCCTGGCTGTCTATAGGTAGGTTACAACTCTCCTGTCACAATGACACATGACACATGGCACATGACGTGGTGATGTCCTGGCTGTCTATAGGTAGGTTACAACTCTCCTGTCACAATGACACATGACACATGACACATGACGTGGTGATCTCCTGGCTGTCTATAGGTAGGTAACAACTCTCCTGGCACCATGACACATGACACATGACACATGGCACATGACATGGTGGTGGCTGGTCCTGGCCGTCTATAGGTAGGTTACAACTCTCCTGTCACCATGACACATGACACATGACACATGACATGGTGGTGGCTGGTCCTGGCCGTCTATAGGTAGGTTACAACTCTCCTGTCACCATGACACATGACGTGGTGATGTCCTGGCTGTCTATAGGTAGGTTACAACTCTCCTGTCACAATGACACATGACACATGGCACATGACGTGGTGATGTCCTGGCTGTCTATAGGTAGGTTACAACTCTCCTGTCACCATGACACATGACGTGGTGATGTCCTGGCTGTCTATAGGTAGGTTACAACTCTCCTGTCACAATGACACATGACGTGGTGATGTCCTGGCTGTCTATAGGTAGGTTACAACTTACCAGTCACAATGACACATGACACATGACACATGACGTGGTGGTGATGTCCTGGCTGTCTAAAGGTAGGTTACAACTTACCTGCCACCATGACACATGACACATGACACATGACGTGGTGGTGATGTCCTGGCTGTCTAAAGGTAGGTTACAACTTACCTGTCAACATGACACATGACACATGACACATGACATGGTGGTGGCTGGTCCTGGCTGTCTATAGGTAGGTTACAACTCTCCTGTCACTATGACACATGACATGGTGATGTCCTGGCTGTCTAAAGGTAGGTTACAACTAACCTGTCACAATGACACATGACACATGACACATGACACATGATGTGGTGGTGATGTCCTGGCTGTCTAAAGGTAGGTTACAACTTACCTGTCACAATGACACATGACACATGACACATGACGTGGTGGTGGTGTCCTGGCTGTCTAAAGGTAGGTTACAACTTACCTGTCAACATGAAACATGACACATGACATGGTGGTGGCTGGTCCTGGCTGTCTATAGGTAGGTTACAACTCTCCTATCACCATGACACATGACGTGGTGGTGTCCTGGCTGTCTATAGTTAGGTTGCAACTTACCTTTCACCATGTCACATGACACATGGCACATGACGTGATGGTTACAGGTCCTGGCTGTCTGTAGCTAGGTTACAACCTACCTGTCACTATGACACATGACGCAGTATGTGGTGGGAGTGTCTGGCTGTCTATAGGTAGGTTACAACCTGTTCCTGGCTGTCTATGGTGGCAGGTCCTGGCTGTCTGTAGCTAGGTTACAATCAACTGACACATGACACATGACGCATGCATTGGTGGTGTCCCGGCTGTCTGTAGGTAGGTTACAACTCACCTGTCACAAAAACAAGACTACGGTTTGCTTAATCTTCAGAAACACACTAGGCGTCCGTTATTGAATTGGTGTAAGTCATCATACGAACATTTCAAGACTGCTTCATAAAAACGAGGCTTATTTTTTGGCGCACGGGGATCCTCAGTGGTAGTCCACTGGCGTCGAAAAGGGAATTCATTGTGACGTAATAAGGTCACGTGTTACTTAAGGTCTTCCAGTTTTGGGTATCCTTCGATTGTTTCCTTCAATACCCATATTAACATCTTGAACGGTGTTAACCCGACGTAGTCACACTCGTCACCATTGTTTCCAGGTGTGTACGACCCGACGATGAGGGAGCTGGCCAAGAGAGTGTCCATGGTCGTCGTGTCAGTAGGGTGAGATACATGTTAGAGGATTTCAGACGAACTGAACAACATTAACCTTAAAGAAGAGAATATATGGATGTCAACTTCTTTATTATGAGGAACACAACGTTTTGGAGTAAATGCTTACTCTTTCATCAGACACACACACACACACACACACACACACACACACACACACACACACACACACACACACACACACACACACACACACATCCTGAAAGTAACGGCTGCTCATCTGGTTGTGACACGCCTATCAACAAGTGACTGATAAGCATTGACACTAGCCTTTCCATAAACAGACGAAATCTCCATTGCACGATTCACCCTCCGATAACCACGGCATTGACAACAATTCAATTCTTTATGAACCTCAAGTTTTACAGCTTATCGGGATAACAACCAACTGTAGAACAGACAATACGAAACGTTGGGTATTTGACATCCATAAGTTATCTTCCTCATGTGTATCACCTCTAAATGCCTTTCATCAACCTTCTTTACACGTAGACTTTGTCGTAATTGAACCCAACAAACATTGCCATAAGTACACTTTGTATAATGTCACTGAACAAGGGAAAATGCAGATCTTTAAAAAACTTCGTGGAACCTTTGCATGTGGACGTCCTAACCCTTCAACCTCAGCACTTGCGTATGGCTGAGAGATCCATCTCGCCCTGCGCTTATTTATTATATTATTGGGCACTGTATGACATATGAGTGATTGAGCGAGTTGGGCTTTCGCCGCTTTGAGTGAGTGAGTATTGATCTACGCCGCCTTTAGCAATATTCCAGCAATACCACGGCGAGGGACACCAGAAATGGGGTTCGCATTTGTACCCATGTAGGGAATCGAACCTGGGTCTTCGGCTCGACGAGCGAAAGCTTTAACCACTAGGCTACCCGACCGCCCAATCGCGGCTTTGAACAGTATTCCAGTTGTGTCACGGCGTGTCAGCTTGATGTGGGTGGAAACTCCGAAGGGATGAAGGTCTCAGATGTTCATCGCTTTGGTGAAACCCACCAGCTCGGTTATGGTCCTGACAAACCTAGAAACAATCGGGGCGAACCGGGATCCCAACCCACGATTATAGGTTCTGGTGTGCCCAAAGCACGCAACTCTGCGGCGCTTTAGATGACTGGGCCACCCGCGCCCCCGAAAGGTATATGAACCTCAAGGACTATGTGCCAACGTCAAATATATCCATCGCGCACTAAATAATTGCATTGTATTTTCCTTAAACAGGTACCGCCAGTCTCCAGAGCATGCCCATCCTATTCCCTTTGAAGACTGCCTCACCGCAACCGAGTACGTTTTGAACAACGCCGCTAAGCTGAAAGTAGATCCGACGAGAGTAGCGATATCTGGAGACAGCGCCGGCGGACATCTCACTGCTGCAGTGGCCCTCCGCCTGAAGAAAAAAATCAAGATCCAAGTTCCGATATACCCATGTCTTCAGCTGCTTGATCTCCAGACTCCTTCGTACATCGAGAACAGGATGTATATCCCCGGGATGCTGAACGACGTCTCCATGTTGTCATACTGGCTGAACTACGGCAACATCAGCTACGATCACATGGACGACATCCTCGCCAACAAGCACACTTCACCTGCTATCAAGAAGTCGAAATACGCGGAAAGAATTAGCCCGAAATACTACATGAAGGAGCACATCAGGACAGAGAGTTTGAAGTCGCCATCCAAACCCACAGATTTCGGAAATGAAAAACTATTCTCGTCAATTGAACGCACAGTACTTGATCCCTACTTCGCGCCATTGATGGCCGATGACGCCGAGTACAGAGATCTACCTTCGACCTATGTGTTAACCGCCGGATATGACGTACTGCGCGACGACGGGTTGATGTATGCGCAGCGATTGAAGAATGCAGGCGTGGATGTACATCTGGCCCACTATAAAGAAGGCTTCCATGGAATGATCTTCTTCTTTGACGGGCCGATCCCCTTTGAAGTGGGCAAGCGAGCTCTGGCAGATCTTGTGGCCTTCTTGAAGAAACGTTTATGAACATAAACTCTAGGCGCTGTGTGTACCTCTCCTGTACCCCCTCCATGCATATTACAGTATGGTCGAATTACACATGGCATTAGTCCGTCTCCCAGACCATAGAGAATATAAAAGAGTCCAACTCAAGTCTAGAAAGATTGGGCAAGTCTAGATTGCCTCGGCTCTAGGAATTAAGCATTGTTCTGCGATCCATTTGGATTATACTTTTATATTTTGTAGATACATATTTTAAATCAGATAAGTTTATTTCTGGGACTAAAGGTCAGTCTAGTATTGCATCTACTCACTAATTTTAGGCTATGGACAAAGGATAATTAGACACATTGAGGGAGATACATTTTCTCCTTTATACGTAGATATATAAGTGTATGATAAATAAATAGATATATGAATGAAAACGCTAACGTTAATTCATCTCGCGTGTTAGCAATGGTGGTGCCCTAATGACAATGTCGTCACAAAGAGATACGAAATCGCGTATGAATATGTCACGTGTCGATTCCCAAATTGAAACAATATGTAAACCCAGAAATATGCACGTACAGTAAACTACGGTTATAACGGACTCAAAAGGACCACTCATTTTAGTTCGTTATAACCGCAGTTCGTTATATGCATATATACAGCACATATACAGCAAATGGCCGAGACCAAAACATAAGTTCGTTATATCTGTCGGTTATAAGTGTGTTCGTTATAAACGTAGTTTACTGTACAAGAATTTAGTGTGAAACCAGCAAACAACAAACGACTGGTATGCAATCAACAATTGTATTACAAAACTAACAAGGAATACAAATTACAATGGCAGTACACAATAGAGTGGTATATACAATATCCAATGGCAGTATAAAAGGTGAGTAATGACAACGACAAGAATAATAAACACCTCGCCAACACAGTGGTCAAGCTTCCGAGAGTGGTGAGAAGTGATCTTCACACGAAAGCTGGTCTTGATGTAATGTGAGATGAGACAGGCACGCACCCACTCCACTTATGTGGTCTCACAAGGTTCTGGAAATTTCCACACAGTGCCAGACCAGTCTAGCGGCTAGAAAATTACAGAATATTCGATATGTTTCTATAACGCTTGACATCCATCCATGCGATTCCAGAAGTTTACAGATAATTCGAGCATCTAAAAATAATAACTTCCTCACCTCTGCTTACATTAAATAGTACTACATTCCTAACAACTAATCATTGTCCAAATACAATGCATTTTATTTGAAACATTGGGTGTCTCCAGCGTCTCTTTGCGGTTCATTGTATGCTATACTCTGCCTGCAACGCGAGTATAGATGCACATGTGTCAGACATTCTGACGAGGATGTATCTTTAAATACATGTCCATTTCACATTTATTGCGGGGGCACGGGTGGCCCAGTCGTCTAAGGCGCCGCGATTTGCTGTGCAGAGTTGCGTCCCTTGGGCACGCCAGAAACCTATGATTGTGGGTTTGAATCCCGGTTCGCAACGATTATGGTTCTAGGTTTGTCAGCACCATACTCGTGCTCGTGGGTTTCACCGAAGTGGTAAACGTCTAAGACCTGCATCACTTCGGGCTTTCCTCCCACATTAAGCTGACACGCCACGATATAACTGGAATACTGTTAAAAGAGGCGTTAAACCGAACTCACTAACTCACATTTTTTGCTCTTATACAGAGATGAACAGTGTCTGATCCACCGTGGAAAGCAATGTGGTGTTTGACATATTCTGTAATTAGTCTTAAAGCATATTTCGTTCGTTCGGGTGAGTTGTGATGTCATATATAATAAAACGATTCAAAGGAATTTCTGAGCTTTTCATTATTGTGCAGATAATTGCAGGAACTGTACATGGGCGACACGGATCATTTTGAGATGCTGTTTCCACGTAGTCTTGAAACCTTTATATACTGAACAGCAAGTGCTTTATGTATGTGAGGTTCGAGGTGAGGTGAAATGGGGTTGACGTCGCGTTCAAGATTACTGCAATACATAGCGACGTACATGCATGTGTGTCTGTTGGCTGGTTGGTTGGTTTGTTGTTTAACACCGCACTCAGCAATATTCGAGCTATATGACGGCGGTCTGTGAATAATCGAGTCTGGGCCAGACAATCCAGTGATTTATATCATGAACATCGATCCACGCAATTGGGATCGATGACATGCATCAACCAAGTCAGCGAGCCTGACCACCCGATCCCGCTAGTCGCCCCTTACGACAAGCATAGTCGCCTTTTACGGCAAGCATGGGTTTTTGAAGACCTATTCTACACCGGGTCTTCACGGGTTGCATGCATATGTAGTATATTTGATCACTATCCTGCATCCTGTTTGGACTCCACCATGCCACACGACAGAACTACTTTCAAAGCAAGTGTTTTAGGAAACGTTAAAAAAACGAATACAGATGTGGATATTTAAAATGTTCTGGTCGCAGAGGTACATTTGATTGAACGGATTGTTCACACACGGTAAACACATGATGAAGCTTTCCTTATTGTCTGCTGAAACACCATCTTTACTAAGATTTAAAATGTTATCATCCCATCGGAATTATCTCAGCCATATAGTGACGTCACGATTATACCAATATGTCTGTCTCAATAGAACGCCGTCGGATTTCAAATATTTTTTCATCCTAATCAAGAGGTGAGGTGAGGTGAAATTGGGTTTAAGGCCGCGTTCAGGATTATTGCATTTATATAGCGACGTGCATGCCCATGTGTGTGGCTGCTTGTACTAGTCCGGACTGATGCCAATTTATAGTGCTAGCTCACTGAGATACCATGCCGCAGTTTAACATGAATACCCTACTCAGACACAGTATACTGACTCCGAGCCGACCAGTCCTTGCTTTAGCCCCTCAATGCCGAGTGTCAGACAGGGTAACAGCAAGTACCATCTTTTAACGTCTTTTGGTATGACGCAGCCGGGTATCGAACCCCGGACCTTCCGCTCTCCGAGCGGACGCTCTACCACAAGACGACGGAGGCGGCCCTTAGTCAAGAAAGGTAAACGACGTTGCTTCATTGTTCCTTTGTTTGGGGATGCCCGTTAATCTGGAATGTCCCAATATATCATACATTGATGCATCGCCCCCAGGTCCCCGACAGGAGGCTCGGCTGTATCTCAGTCAGACAGTTCAGCGCCATCTTGACAAGATATCCACCTTCGCCTATTTGGCCTATGTTGCTTTTGAGGTGAGGTGAGGTGAAATTTGGTTTAACGTCGTGTGCAAGATTATTGCACTTATATAGCGACGTGCATGCACGTGTGTGTGTGGCTGCTTGTACTAGTCCGGACTGATGCCGATTTATAGTGCTAGCTCACTGAGATACCATGCCGCAGTTTAACATGAATACCCCACACATACACAGTATACTGACTCCGAGCCGACCAGTCCTTGTTTTAGCACTTTAATGTCGAGCGCCAGACAGGGTAACAACAAGTACCATCTTTTAACGTCTTTTGGTATGACGCAGCCGGGGATCGAACCCCGGACCTTCCGCTCTCCGGGCGGACGCTCTACCACTAGACCACGGAGGCGAAAAGTTCAAACCTGCAAAACATACAGGGCAGAACCATGTCTTGTTCTCATTAGAAACAGAACATGCATTTGGTTTGTGGCCATACTTAAAATTCCTTCTAAACTACTGTCTTCACGTTTGTTGTTTAACTCCACATTCAGCAATGATCCAGGGACATGACTGTGACCTGTAAATAAGTCGAATCTGGACCAGACAAACCAGCGATTGACATTGCCAGCAACGTCCCACGCGGTCATTGTAGGAGGACATGCAATGAACCAAGTCACCTAGCTTGATCAAACGATCCATTTAGAGCCTGACGAACTGATCGATCCATTTAGTTGCCTTGTGAAGGAAACGATTCTTAGCTGGATTCCAAACTGGGAATGTCTTCCTGAAAACAGTTCACTGTAAATGAGGGGAGACTGTAGACAAGTGGAAGAGATACCCATCCAGCCCAACAGTTGCTGCCATTGATGCGAGGATCCTCTGTGGGTTTAATTCTGGATTTGCCCGATTACAATCCTGGGAGTGAGTGAGTTGGGTTTAACGCCGCTTTTAACAGTATTCCAGTTGTATCGCGGCGTGTCAGCTTAATGTTGGAGGAAAGACCGAAGTGATGCAGGTCTCAGACGTTTACCACTTCGGTGAATCCCACGAGCACGAGTATGGTGCTGACAAACCTAGAAACATAATCGAGGCGAACCGGGTTTCGGTTTGTGGCGAGCCCAAGGGATGCAACTCGGCACAGCGAGTGCCCCCAAACACCCACCCACCACCACCACTCCCTGAGTATAACTGTAAGAACAACAGATATAGCAAAACAAACAGAACTATCATGTATTTATTTATTTGCATTGAATATTTATTTCTAATTGCTTTTCAAGCATAACTACCTACCACTTCAAGGTTATTGCAACATTGAATGACATCGTCCAATAATCTTAATTCATAAAGTAACAGAATTTGTGACCTGTTTTCACCAATGACATAATCTATTCAAAGGCACAGACAGTTGAAACCAAACAGCAACGTTTAGAAAATGTACTTGTTATTACATTGTAACCACAGGTGCAGGAAGAGGGGCTGGTCATTTATGATAGAGTAGGTGGGTTGGCATTGATCATGAGGTAAAATGTGCTGGCCATTTACTATACGGGAGGGTAGGTTAATCATGTACTATGGGGGAGGGTTGGTTAATCAAATACTATAGAGGAGGGTGGGTTGGTTAATCATTTACTATAGGGGAGGGTGGGTTGATCATTTACTATAAGGGAGGGTGGGTTAATCATTTACTATAGGGGAGGGTGGGTTGATCATTTACTATAAGGGAGGGTGGGTTGATCATTTACTATAGGGGAGGGTGGGTTGATCATTTACTATAGGGGAGGGTGGGTTGATCATTTACTATAGGGGAGGGTGGGTTAATCATCTACTATAGGGGAGGGTGGGTTGATCATTTACTAAAGGGGTGGGTGGGTTGATCATCTACTATAGGGGAGGGTGGGTTAATCATTTACTAAAGGGGTGGGTGGGTTGATCATCTACTATAGGGGAGGGTGGGTTGATCATTTACTATAGGGG